TAATCATTAATAAATTTAAAATTGGATCATGTGTGGACCAGTGATGGGAGTCTGTTAAGACCAAAACTAAACCAGTTCAAAAGGCCTGAGGTACAATCAAGTCAGAAACTGTCCCACTAGATATAACTCTCCTTGTACCAGGAAACAGGACAGCTTATGACAAGATGGAAAAATCCATCCCCAATGTTATAAGACATTACGTTATCACCTCTAGTTCTTACTGGCCATGTGGACAGGAATGGGTAAGGGAGAAAGAGACGGGAAAAAAGACTAATCTACCACTTGTCTGTCAGTTTGTCACACTGTGGTGGCTTGTGAGTTGCTGTGATTCTGAAAGTTATGCCATCAGTATTTTAAATACCAGCAGGGTCACCCATGATGGACAGGTTTCAGATGAAGACAGACTAGGAAGAAGGAGTGATGAACTACTTCCGAATATTTAGTCACTCAAAATCTTATGAATGGCAGAGAAACACTGTCAGATATAGTGATGGAAAATGAGCCCCTCAGGTTTGAAGGCACGCAAAATGTGACTGGGGAAGAGCTGCCTCCTCAAAGTAGAGTTGACCATGATGATGCAATTGCAGTAAAGCCTGTGGGAGAAAAGCCCACGGGACCTTCATTTGCTGATGGAGCACAACTCAAAATGAAGAGTAACAGCTGTAGACATCCATTGAAAACTGGAACATGGAATGTACGAAGCATGAATCTAGGAAAATTGAAAGTTGTCAAAAATGAAATGGAATGCATAAACATCAATATCTTAGGCATTTGTGAGTTGAAATGGACTGGTATTGGCCATTTTGAATCTGACAACCACATTGTTTACTATGCCAGGAATGACAAATTGAAGAGGAATGGTGTTGCATTCATTGTCAAAAAGAACATATCCAGATCAGTCATGAAGTACAACACTGTCTATGATAGGAAAACATCCATGCGCCTAGAGGGAAGCCCAGTTAATACCACTATTATTCAAATTTATGCACCAACCACAAAAGTCAGTGAGGATGAAATTTCTTTGATCACATATGCAATCAAGATTACTGGTGATTGGAATTCAAAGGTTGGGAGCAAAGAGGAAGGATCAGTAGTTGGAAAATATGGCCTTGGTGATAGAAATGATGCTAGAGAACAAATGATAGAATTCTGCAAAACCAGTGATTTGTTCATTTCAAATACCTTCGTTAGACAGCATAAGAGATGATTATACACATGGACCTCACCAGATGGAATGCATAGAAATCAAATTGACTACATCTGTGGAAAGAGATGATGGAAAAGCTCCATATCATCAGTGAAAACAAGACCAGGGGCAGACTGTGGAACAGACCATCAATTACTCATATGCAAATTCAAACTGAAACTTAAGAAAATGAAAACAAGTCCACAAGAGCCAAAATATGAGCTTGAATATATCCCACATGAATTTAGAGATCCTCTGAAGAACAGATTTGATTCATTAAATACTAAAGACTGAAGACCAGAAGAGTTGTGGGATGACATCAAGAACATGATACAGGAAGAAAGCAAAAAGTTATTAAGAAGACAAGAGAGAAGGAAAAAGTCAAAATGGATGTCAGAAGAGACACTGAAACTTGCTGTCCAGTGTAAAGATGCTAAAGCAAATGGAAGAAATGAAGAGGTCCAAGAGCTGAACAGAAAATTTCAAAGATCAGCTCGAGAAGATAAAGCCAAATATTACAACAAAATGTGCAAAGATCTGGAATCAGAAAATCAAAAAAGGAAGAACACGCTCAGCATTTTTCAAACTGGGGGAGCTGAAGAAAAAATTCAAGCCTCGACTTTCGTTATTGAAAGATTCTCTGGGCAAATTATTGAATGATGCAGAAAGCATCAAGAGAAGATGGAAGGAATACAGAGAGTCACTGTACCAAAAGGAAATGGTTAATGTTCAACTTTTTCAAGAGGTAGCATATGATCAAGAGCTAATGATAGCACGTATGGATGCAGTAACTCAAAAGAGGGAACAAGTTTTTACAGCAAGGATCATTCCCACCACCACCATACACAGAGCAGACAGGGATGGGCAACTTGGACATTGGCTACCCAAAGTGGTGGGGGCTACAAAGGCAAGAAGTGACTGGCTTACAAGCTTTCAAAAGGGAACCTAGATCCAGAGGGCCTGGAGGAAGGTAGAATCTCCACTGAGTAGTATCCAATCTGTCTAGGCGGGGCTGACGAAAGGAAATGCGGATAGGTCTCTTGTGATACAATAGTGAATAATTGTTATCAGGACTGATTGTGAGTGTTGGAAATGTAAAGGTAAACGTTTTGTAGCAAGGAGGGGAGTGAGTAACTTTGCAGTCTAGGAGCTGAGGTTCCTGGGACCATCAAGGGAGAAGAGTGAGACCCTACCCAGAAAAGCAGTGGCGCCCGAGATGGAGGCAGAGACGATGACGTGCAAAGATGGAGCAGCTGGAGACTTTAGACCCAGAGAAGGAGAGGGGCTTTGTGCTGATGACTGGAGGGCAGGATTGTAGGGTATACCATTTGGTTGGTCAATGATGCATGGAGGGGATTGTAACCATAGCAATTAAACTATATAGGATAGAATGAATATAAAACTAATGTTCTCCCATATAAACTATCACATAATTCACAATAAAACACTTTAAAAAATGAATAAATAAAGAGCCAGTGATACTGAAGGAGGAAGTCCAAGGTGCATTGAAGGAATTGGCAAAGAGCAAGGCACCAGGAATTGATGGAATCAAAATGAAATCATTCAAGTAAGTGAGGCGGCACAGGAGGCACTCACTCATCTCTGCCAAGAAATTTGTAAGACAACTATCTGGCTGACTGATTGGAAGAGATCCATATTTGTGCCTATTCCAAAGAGAGGTGACCCAATGGAATGAGGAAATTATCGGACAATATGTTTGATATCCCATGTGAGTAAAATTTTACTAAAGGTAATACAGAAATGGCTACAATCATCATTGACAGAGAACTTCCAGAGGTTCAAGGCAGATTTAGAAGAGGCCATGTAACGAGGGATATCATTGATGATGTATGATGGATCTTGGCTGAAAGCAGAGAATATCAGAAAGATGTTTAACTGTGCTTTACTGACTACGCCAAGGCTTTCAATTGTGTGGATCATGACAAGCTATGGACAACATTGCGAAGTATGAGTATTCCGGAACACTTAAGTGTGCTCATGAGGAATCTGTACCTGGACCAAGAGGCTGTTGTTCGAACTGAACATGGGAATACTTGAGTGGTTTACAACTTTAAAAAGTTGTGCAACTAGGTTGTATTCTTTCACCACTTATTCAACCTGTATGCTGAGCAAATAATCTGAGAAGCTGGGTTATATGAAGAAAAACATGGCATCAGGATTGGAGGAAGACTCAT